TTATTCACATATATCCTTACGAAACTAAAAAAAAGTGAAACAATGTAAGGAGTGAAGGGGGATATTAGAAGTTATACGTAACCCATTCACTCCTACTCACTCAAAAATACAACTATGAGTTTTTGAGTAATTTTATCTTGAAATTATGTTAAATTACAATGGTTACAAGGAAAAAAATCTTGATTTATTGAATAAAAATTGGATTTATTTGATTCATTTTCGAGTTAGATGTAACAAAAAAATATTCCATTCGATTTATTCCTCCTAAATTTCTGGACACGCCATTGAGCCAAAAAAAAAATAGGTATGTTTACCTATTTTTTTTTTTTTTTTTAATGTTTTGCGGTAAAATTATTAAATTATGTAACGCATGCCATTCTAAATTCCAATATTTTTATTATAATAATATTATCAATACGGTCTCTTTACGGAGAGTTATCTTTATATAAGGAGATTGGGGCAGAAATATAATAACCAATTGGGTCAAGAGAATAAATTTCATTCAAATTAACTGACCCATTAGAAACTTTCATTGTGCCAATGGAAATCGACTAATATAATACTATAAATAAATAATGAACTTTTCGTTGGGATTAATTTATTATTATCATATTTTATTCATGTCAATATTTGTCGTTAATTTATTTTACTTTTTTCCTCTATCATCAATCATATAACAGAGGTGTATCGATTTATTTTGATCGATAGACCGGGTACAATAGACGTTCTAAATAAATAGTAGTTACCTACTGAAAAATGATTGTATCCGAATCATTTGAATAACACTGCGTCGATTTAACAACAATAATAATAGGTAATTTTTAATATTATTATGTAACAGAACGGAATTTATTTAAGTGGGTACACAAAAAGTTGAGTAATACCTATAGGTGACTAATTATTTTTTTACCAGTGTAACGCTAACACGTTTAATTGTTTAATTTATATACATAGTACACTCATACCTACCGTATACAGACATAAATTTGCAAAAGCTAAAATAATAAAACCTTAAAGAGCGTAAAGTTAAATTAATTTCTACACCATTAAGCATTATTATCTTTTAGAATTTTAGTTCCTAAGTGAATCGATAAATTTATTAGTTTTACTATGTGTTTTTTTTCTGTCAGTAAACAACTCTTTGACCAAAAATCATGCTCCTATTATCAAAATTAGAGCAGTGGAGGATTAACCACTAGGCTTACGAGGCTCGAGCCTAGGACGGCAACTTGTAGGAGGTGGCAAATTTTTTATATATCAAACGATTTCCTATCATTTTTTCCAGTATTATTGTTAAACCAAAATCAAAATCAAGAGTCATGATTTAACATTATTTATTTTTTATCGTGTTGTACATTTGTTAGTAATTTCTCTGCAGTGTTGTGTATATAACCACAAGTACATTATTTCGTCAAGGTCTATTAAATTATTCGTAAGTATATATTATAATTTATTTATATTACAATATATTATATTAATTGTTTTATATTGATCGTTATATTAACAACAATTTGCTAATACCCCGTACTCCACGTTTTATTCAAAAATTTAGGTAGTACCTATAGATACTAGATAAGTAGTAGATACCTATTTTTTAAACGATTTTGATACATTTTAATAATTAAAAATTCAACACTCATTTTTAATAGTTAACGGACATTTATTTTCACTTTTCATAATTCTTTAAATGTAACACAATATAGGCAGTACCTATGCTATATTGTATTATATTGTACCAATTAGGTACCTATAAGTACTTATTAAAATAAAATATATACAATTACAATAATTTAATAAACTTCTAATTTTAGTTAATAAATTAATTAAAAATTATTTTTATTGTGTATTATCTTTTTGTTTGTTTGAAAAAATAACCCCCCCCCCAAATTTTAGTTTTGGATCGGTGCTTGGTTGTGGATTTCTTTTTTAGAGTAATAATAATAATATATATCCCAACACTAAAATAAGTAAGTTAGTTTTTCCAATCACAAAGTAGAGATTAAAATATAATACAGCTATAAGAATTTTAATTATTATAATGTATTATAAATATATTTAGCTAAATATTCAAGAGTTACTCCAATTGGAAATGTTGAGTTATGTACAACAAGACCCACTTACACCAATTACCAATAGGTTCCAAATTGACTCCGCAATTACTCATTATTGAGTAAATTTAAAAAATAAAATTACACAAATTCAATATAAAAACCTAGACATACAGTATAAAATAAAACAAACTATTTACCTGACCAAATCCACGTCTCCTATTTGTTCAAGTTACTGGATAAGGTGTTTCACTAATTTTCAAAGAGGCCATTAAATCTTCAAGTGGGAACAAATGCATAATGTTTTCAATAAAAAATGTTTTGTTACTGAAATATATGCAGAGGTCCTTGAATAATAAATTGGTGTATTCTTGTTAACTTCTAAATGGATAAAAATCAATACAACAATGTAATGAACTCGAATATCAAAAAATTTATTTATGTTGTAAAACGTAATTTACCGATATGGTTCACCGAATTTACTTTTTTTGTAGTCTTTCATGGGAGTTCTCATAAGAGAGGATTCTTCATACTTGCTATTTGTTTTATAAATTTATTCCCCAATAGTTATATTTAAACTTGAAAATGTTTAATTAAACACATGCGTGTATTTGGGATAAAATAGTAATATCTCACATGTCCTTATAATTGGCTGTCATTATAATTAACCTTCTACTATTTTAAGACATAAAAAGTACCTGTATGAAAAATACAAAATATACATTAATGAACCGTGTGTGTATGACATCTGACAGTTAATTTTATACAATTATAGATGATACATACTTTCTGATATTTTCCACAATTAAAAATTTTGATTGATAAGTCAATTTATGATTAAAATCAATATAAAAGTCTGAACAAATTGAGTGCTTTTAATAGAATTGTATCGATTCATTCATATACCACTAAATCCTTGACAAGGAGAATCTCCAAAAATAACAACTACTTCACCACTTTTTAGTATTCCCCGATTTTCATTGATAGTAGTTTTACCAGACAATGTTGAAAAATTCATTAGTCTTCAACAAATACAATTGTATCAGGATTAATAAATTTAAATACTTCAGCAGCATAATAATCAATCTCCACATTTGGTCTTAATTAATCCACAGTCTTCAATCCTGCAATAGGCAAATTTCTATAATTTAACAAATACAACTTAATACCACCACCCTACAACAAGACCCACTTTAGATAAATTACCAATAGGCTAAATTAACAGAATTCTAGTTTAGCAACCGATTGATTTTGGTGTTTTTTTTTATAAAGTGTGTTTTTACGTATACATTAAAAATTTAACAAAAAAAATGTCTGACAAACATGAAATTTTGGTTTTTGTTTCACGTATTTCTTAGTTAGAATTTAACATTTTCAATTTTTTTTTTCCTCAAAATGTGTTTTTTGATGCTCAATCTATTTATATAATCAAAACTTACCTATCATAATTACTTTTATAGTTTTTGTACATTGAAAAATAACATTTTTGGAATTAATCCAAAATGTGGTCAAAAATAGACATTTTTTATCATTACTATTTGTGGTTATTGATATTTTGGTAATAAAGATTTTAGATTGAGGTTAGAATAAATCTATCTGGCTTAGTTTTAGAGTTAACAAACGTTTCAACGTACCGTGTTTCACTGCACTCACTCGGACAATTTTAATTGAAAATAACCTTAGTGTGACTGAGGTCTTTAATTCCGCCTATAATGCTTTTTACTTTTCCCCGTTACCTACCCAACGTGGTTTTGCACAACAAATCGAGGATTATTTTCGATCAAAATTATCCAAAAGAATGCAGCGAGCAAGTGACCACATTGGGCCTCTAATTCCACCTACCAAAACTATAAAAGTAAGTATAAAATGTGGATTGAACATTTAAAAACACACAATTTAGAAAAAAAAATTGAAAATGTTAAATTCTAAGAAATACGCGAAACGGAAAACCCGAACTTCATGAAGTTTTTCCCTATAACTTCCAAACGAAGTTCATCCGACTTTTTTATCATACATAATGTAGACGCAAAACATATATTATGGAAAAAAAAAAAACCAAAAAATCGCTGGTTGATAAACTAGAATCGTTTCCCTATACATAGGGTATAAGATAAAACAAAATATTTACCTGAGCAAGTTCGCGTCTCCTATATTTTGTTCGAATAGTGACTGGACGAGGAGTTTCACTAAGTTCCAAAGAAAACATTAAATCTTCAAATGGGAACAAAATAAAAAAGTCCAAATGCATAATTTGTTCAATAAAAAATGAAAGACAGTGCATGGTGCGTCATAGTGTCATGTGTTTGTTATAAATAAAACGGTGGGAACGATGCGCACCAAAGAGAATAGAGAGAAAGTTATAAATGTCAGTTTGGACAACCGTCCTATCATTGATTAAACGTACACAAGTATACCTAATCTATGGTCCAACCTTTCGTCATTTTATTTTTAATTTTATTCGTGTTTTATTTGTTATATTATGTATTGATACCGTTGACTATGTGGTACAAAATTTGGTAGTTTTATAATAATTTGAATTATTTCAAAAAACAATATATTATGGTGTCATATTATCTATGTATAGTATATGCATCTCGATGTATGGTGTTGACGATTCTCAAACGAGTAATAAAAACGGTGAATTTATTATTTAAAACCATGAAGACCCGTTGGATTATAAGATATTTTTTAAGTTATCTTATAGTTCAGTAGGTACAGCCGAATTTTATCATTTTACAAAGAAAATTTTAGACCGTGATATATATTTTAAACTTATGATATGATATGATAATTAGACAAAATATTATTTAATTTAGTACCTATCATAATGTATTGGGACATGTCATGTGCAGTCATGTGGAAAACGCTATTAGATAAAATTTAATTTTAATCAGTGATACTAGTATCTATAATCGTAGTATCACCATAGAATAGATAACCGTGTTGTATACACACAAACCTATTGGTCTAAGTTCGTTGTTATTTCAGACAACTTATGTGCACTAATATAATTTTGTGTTTAAATCTTAGAGTAATTAGTAAACTTATTTAGATCAAAATTAAGAATTAATCTTTTTTGATTCTACTGTTTTTTTTTTTTTAATAATCTATAACCAGATTTCTCTAATAACGTTAAAAATTATGTCCATTAAAAGTGTTTTAAAAAAAAAGTTCAAATTGGAAAATACAATTTTTTCAATGAAAAAAAAAAAACCAAAAATTAAACATGTAATTTCTAAATTGCCAGGTGATATTTACACTAAATTAAATACAAATAATGATATTAAATGTGAATCCGTACCAGACAATTTACAGAAACGGTCCACAACTCCCATCATAAAAATAGAGGATGGAAATCACATTGAAACAACAGATATTGATAAAATTAAAAATTCAACACCAAAAATTAAAAAAAAAAGAAAGTCTGAGACTAATGAACACGAAATGCCTAAAAAGAAAAAGGTAACTTTTGCGTCTGATGTGAAAAGTGAAAAAGATCAAAAATGTACTGCTGGTAATATGTTACCTTTAAGTTTAAACAAACGGAAAAAATTGAACTATATTAAGAAGTTGAAATCGAAGAAAAATAAACAAAAAAATGCAAAAAAATGTGAAGCAAATATTGCTGCAACGAGTACACCCTTACAAGAACGAGCTATTGCATATATGATACAATGGAAAAACGATCGTTCAAATTGGAAGTTCAATAAAAAATTTCAAATTTGGTTAATTAAAAACACTTATGATCCTGTAAAGGTAAAAATTTTGTTTTATATACAAACAATTACTATTAGGTTTTCTATCATTTGAACAGGTATAACGTCAGTTCTACAATCGTCAATGTAAATTTATGACCGGAAGAAAAGGGCAAAACCATGTGTTTTTGCTATTATTCCAAATATAACATTTAAAAATAAAAACATTGTTTTCAAATGACTGTAATATTTCATAAAAAAAACACACTACTTTTTCTTTCAAAACATTGTCTTCTGTTTATTTTATAATCGGTGCTTTTACTCTAAAACTAAAATTGAGTATGTATTACGCAGTCTGTGTAAGGTAAATTTTGCTATATTGCCAGTTAATTTGACTGAGACAGCACATGAGGGTATAGCATCCTTTTAACTCATTATATACTATATAGAGATAATTTTTGCTCATAGCAGTTGTAAATATTAGTGTTATTTTAAATATAATATAAACAATAATAATTTAGTACTTGCTTATATGCATTACTAATTAATACTACCATTGTGGGTGCGGCGGTGCTAGAGAAGAACAAATGGGACATAAGTCTGAGTTTGTTTTGGTTTTAATAGGATCTGTGGTGTATTACTATAAAGGTATACAATCATTAGTTATACCATTTATTTTAAATTATTCTAACTGAAGCATTGTCCAGGACTCCACAAAACCTAGTGCTGACACTGGATACTACCTTATATTTATTTTTTTTTTAAATTCAATTTTTCTCCCTCCTAGCTTTCATATTAATACTCCTAGGAGTATTATATTGTTTTAAAAAAATGTCTAACACTCGTCGCTTAAATTTTTTAGTTTTAAATTATTAGAGGTTTTCAGTTAATATCTAATATTATCTTGTGTATTTAAAATGAATAAACAACTAAAGCGTAGTGATCAATAAATAAACGATTTATCCTGCAAGGTAGAATTTAAAAAAAAAATTGTATTATTGGTCTTTCCCTTATTACTAGTCGAGGTTTTATGTCATATGACTATAGTATTAAGCATACCAATTCATTTTTTTAGGTTTAATTTAACTTTAACTTTACGTTTTGTTTTAAATATAGTTTTATAAAAAGCTGTATTTCATACACATTTTAAAATACTGTGTTTGATTTATACATTTATATTTTTTTAGATACCCAAAGAACATTTTGACATTTTAGTAGAATATCTTCAAACTATTAATGGTCAAAGTCGTAATTTAATTCTTCAAAATGCCAATACCATTGTCACCGAATCTTCAGCTTCAGATGAACATCAAGAATTAAATTTGGCACAGGAAAACAAATACCAACGAGCTAGGACTATCATTCAAATGTTTGTTTAGTATCTAATTATTTGTTTTATTGATTAAATCATTTAATTATTAGTCTGTAATATTTTATGTTGAAATATTGAATAACTAAAACATTATTAAAACCATAAATCCATTTAACAGTTTAATTAACACATATAAGATTATGTTGATCATTTTAAATGGGAAAGGTAAAAAGACAAAATAGAAATTAAAGCAACAGCTATTGAAATAAAAAAAATTAATGTTGAAGCCACATAGAAATAATAATATTATTAATAAAAATAAAGATTCAACATTAAAAATTGAAATTTTAAATTATGGAATAACAAATAATAAATTAACAACATAAAATCTAATAAATTTACCTAACATTTTGATATTAATTAAAATTACAATGAGAACAATTTTTATTCTGTTTTTGCTTCAACCAGTTTGGATACAAACGTTTTTAATTTATCTTCATCTTGTAATCCAATAATTTTTCCCTGAACTTTACCATTCTTCATTGCAATTAATTCAGGTACTACAGTAATCTAAAAAACAAATTAAACCTTGATAAACACGGTGGGTACCTTTAATTTTTAAAATTGTGATTTTATTATGTAATATGTGTTATTATTAAAGAATGGATTTATATGTTTTTACATATCGTTTACTGAGCTGTATATTTTTTTAAGCAAAATCTCTGAAAAAATGTATTATTTTTCCATACTTAAAAATGGCCGCAAATAAGTACTGAACGCCTAAGGAAAGCTACTAGAAGTGCAAATTACACAAAATTATTTCTACTTCATTTGTCAATGTCTTAATAACCCATAACATTATCAAATACATTCATCTTGATGTCGATAGTAGGCAGATACTTTAATAAATAATGAATAATATGTATACAATAATTTTGCAGAAAATAAATAGATAGTCTATAAATTTTAATTTTTAATGTTTTCGTTTTGATTTTGATAAGAAAATAGTCCCTACTAATAATCACAAAGAAAATATTAATAGCCAATTTTATGTTCAGTCTCATTTCGTTAATTAGTCAATATTGGCCAGTAAGCATAACCGGAATATTTGTACGGTCAATAAAAGTGTTAACTGGCACATAATTGGTGGTTGTAATATTAAGTCATGCTAATGTTAATCTAGTAAGAAATTTTTATAGTTTATTTACACCATAATCCATAGCGATGTCGACATTATCATCAATATCAACTTTAGCGAGATTAATTTCCCCATTATATTCTTCTATCACTTTTTCAAGTCTAGGCAGGAGCACTTTACAAGGACCACACCATCTAAAATAACAAAAATTAAAATAATTATTGTATTATAATTTAAACTATTATTAGATATTAATATCTAAATATATATGTAGAAAAAAGTTAATATGTTAATGTTGGTAAGTAAATATTTCCATTAAATACCTATATCTACATTTTAATTATCCTTTAGAACAAATATCAAAAAAAGAGTTGATACTAGGGACGGGTGCCCTAGGTAGGAAGTTGAGAAGGTAGGATATAGAGAAGAATTTAATTTATATCAATTTATAACAAAAAACGATTCTGAGCAGAGCTCAGTTAACAATGTTGGTTTTTTGACATTGTGCATTATCATGACGATTTAAAAAAATTTAAATTATAAAAAGTTAATACCAAAAAAATTTTAAAAAAACGGTTACCAATGACAACCTTATTTTCAATATTTTTTTACCTAAAGAACCAGTTTTTTACAGTACATTAAATATCAATGAGAATTTCAAAAAATGACTTTTCCAACTAGAGCCAAAATGAAAAGAAAAATGTTTTTTGTCATATTTTGATTGGAGCAAGATTTTTAGGAGAAAAGTTTTTTACACGCAGAAAAAATGAAAAAAATAAAATAAACATATAGTAGTAAAATCAATAGACTCGGAATCTAAAACTAGTAAAAGTTATTAAAAAAAATATTTCTCTACACAATACTATTATAATTCTGATTATAATAGACCTATATTTTTACCTAAATAATCAAAACAATTTCTGCCGGGCATAGAGTATTCTATGCTAGCCATGGCCAAAATAGCACAATAACATAGAAGGTCATCAACAGCTATACACTTTATCAATCTCTAGTATGTGCTGTAAATGCTCTACTGTTTAGACAAAATACCTATAATTTATTGATTTCAAAGTAATAATTATAAAATAATGTATTCATTACATTTTAAATTCTGAACGAAGCAAGAAATTTATTGGTTTGATAATGATGTTTATTTATTGTTTTTTATTTTTTTTTTTTTTTTTTTATATATACTGTAAACAAAATGTTTACCAGAAATCTTACTCTGATTTATCAAGTACAACAGATTTCCTGAGAGGAAATTTTATCTAGTTGATACTTTAAGGTAATTATTTTTTTTGATTTTCCAAGCAGTTCTCATAATAATTGGGAAAAATTATAAAAATAATGTTTTTATTATTTTCAATTTTGTTTTCTTATAGTAATTCAATTCAAATTCATGAAGACTTGAAATTTGGACAGAAAACTTATATTTACACAAAGCAGCAATATTAACTGAATTTCGATCAGAATCATTTTTCTTTAGCAAATATTAATCGATGCATACAGATATAGATTAAATTCCCCTCAACATCCTATTTTCCTAAAACTGCTCACATACAACAGAGGTCAATCAGATGAAGTCTGTAATTTATTTTAATCAGTGTTTTAAGTTCAAATGAATAATACAGTTTTTGTTTTAATTTTTGTTGTAGTTACAAATTAATGAAATTTTAAATTTAAATTTATCAAAAAATGTTGCTTAAAATCGCTTTTGATTAACAATAATTTATTGTTGCATCTGTAGGTTTATAAACTAAATTACCATGTATATCCTAACTTCTTACCAATAGTAGTCTAGTTACTAACACTCTCCTATAGAAAAAGCATAGCAACTGGGTATAAGACGCCCAAAAACACTGGCATGTTTATAGTTTTTTTAATAGAAATAATATATTAAAATCTTCCTATCGAATATTCACAATTTGTACACACATAATCCAAAGAGAGTTTCATATAAAACAATTTGATGATTTATTTTGTTTAATTAAGACAAAACTTATTTAGCTGCGATTCTAGATAATATAAATTATACCTATTTGTAATTCAAAGTTATTCTATATATTGTTATTAATTATTTATAAGTACATACGTTGCGAAAAAATCAATTACTACTGGCTCTTTACTGTTGAGAACATGCTTATTGAAGTCTTCTTGATCTTGTACTTTAAAAATTCTTTGTTTACCTTAATTACAAAAGGTTGTGAAATGTTATTTAAAAATATTGCAATAAGTTTTGTAAACTAGGTACTTACTATTAGTTGTGATCAGTGTTCTCTTGATTATTTTTGCCACCATCGTTGTTTTCTTAAAATTTGAGAACATGATTGTAAAAACGTTGAAAATTGAAATCAAAGAATAGTATTCAAAATGTCTATATTAGTAATATCTCAGAAATTGGTAATTGGTAAATTATATAACCTATATATATTATATAGATTCCCAAGCACAAATCCAATAGACCGTGATAAACTGATAAATAATATTATGTTTCAGCTCTTGGTAGAAAATACGGTAAAAATTGATAGTCTATTAGGCATAGACCTATTAGGTTAAACCATAGATACCATAGTTGCAGTGGCTGATAAAGACATATCGGCGGCAACTTATTCCCGAGTAATAAACAATATTGACGATAACGCATGCTATTATTGCTGTTGTTTTCAGTGTTTTTTCCCGAATTTGTGACATTTTAATTTGTGGTGTTTTTACTCATTTGCACTATTTAAGATATCTCCAAATTCAAGAACCCGTATTTATACCTATTATAATAATTAGTATTTTCTTATGTAATTATTATTCTTAAAAAAAAAAATAATAACTCTTGTTATCCACTAGTGGCACTAGTTATTGAGCGTATCGCCTTGCCATGTTATACTTAGAAGATTATCTGGAAAGTAAGTTTATAATTGTTTTTAATAATAACGCAATTAATTTTCTTAATTATATATTATTAAAATAAATAATGTACTAGGTACCAAATCACCCAGTTTGGGGAATAATTAATAATAAATAAATAAATTCACTATGTTTTATTTTGTTTAAGACATTGAACATTTGCCGCAAGAGATGAGAAATCGCTTCACTGAAATGAGAGAAATGGACTTGCAAGTAGAAAGTACATTTATATAATTATATAACACACCTATTTACTTTACTTCTAATATAACTATTGGTTTTTTTTACTATACAGTCTATAATTATTCATCAATTATAGTCATAATTATTAAATTCCATAAGTTTGTTATTTCAGTTGTAATATTGTTATAATACTTATATTACCTTTAATAATATATGAACAATAATGACATAAAAGTTTAATGTATATCAATTTCTTTTCAGATTCCATGGACTGTATAAAAAAAAATGTAGATAATTTATTTTCAAAAGCAGACAAAATGAATCCAGATGAATTAGAAACTAGTTTTAATTTGATTATGAAAGAAGGCGAAAAATCTGTTGAACAATCTGGTTATAATTTTTTATTGTTGTTTTTTTAGTAATACCTTAATTTAAGAAGAATTTTTATTAATTTTAGAAGAAAAAGTTCAATTAGCCAATCATATGCATGAACTTATGACAAAATACATGAGACGATTAGATCATGAATTACACAAATTTAAAATGGAATTAGAAGCCGACAATAGTGGTATCACTGGACTTATTGAAAAAAGTAAAAATTGTATACTTATATGGTTTTTAATTTTTAATGTTATCTTTTTTTTAATACATTTATGTAAATCATATTTTAAAATTAATTTTAATTTTAGGAAGTTTAGATTCAGAACAAAGTAATACTACCAACCAAAAAGAAAATAAATTTCAATTGAGCAGATGTCTTTTTGGAGGTAAGTAGTAAATGCGTGGAACTATTTCAATTGCATAATATTTCCTTCTTTGCATTTTCAGTTGAGTTTAATAGTGTGTATTGAGAAGTATTTGACCCCTCCCTTAATTATAAATACCATGTTATAATTTGTGTAATAAAAAAAAAAATAGTATGTATGGATACAATTAATTTACAGCAATAAAAAAATGATATTTTCATCCTAAAATTTGTTCATGTGTACATTGTTTAAAATTGTTTAATAAAATAAATTTTAAAATACATTCATGTTAAAATTTAAAGAAATGTATATGTGTATATATATATAGAGTGAGATATTTAATTGGCTACACATAATATTTCATGAGGTATTAAAAACCAAAAGTAGGTAGTTATTTCATCCCCCATAAATAATATTAATGTAACATTTTAGAACCCCTTATTTCACTTAAATTATTTTTAAAAAAATACATTATCTTTTTTTAAGTCAATACTTTTTGAAAAATTTCAAGTGTAGTCACTTAATATATTATATGTATCAAATTTTTGTCTATATGAAATTGCTAGTCATAGTTTATTTTGAATAATCAATTGGCATTTAGTCCAAAAATGTTAAAACATAATAAACTAAATAGAACATTGTTTCTTCAATTTTCATTAAACTTCATATAGATATGTTGAGTATAATTTCAAAGCTTAATTGTCTTAATATGTACTTATAAACCAATTTAATATTAAAAATAACAAATTAATACATTTATTTTACTTCAAATATTTTACAGACAAACAAGAAGCTTTAAACAATGTTGGCAGTTCCAAGCAAAAATCAACGTCAGTAGCTTCGAATTCTGCTAGTAGTGGAGAGGTTGCATCACCTTCACAACGTGATACAAGTCCTGCTAATTCTCGAGTAGTTTCATCTTCATTAGCCTATACGTTGGGCCACATGGGGGCAGGTAGTCCAGCAATTGCTGCAGCTGCATCCCAAGCAATTGTTGCTACTCAACAGGTATAATTAAAACTTGTTGGTTATAACATTGAATAAAATTAACTAAAAAAAATTCAAGTTTTAAGTGCCTTAAATAATACAAGTTATACTGTATGCAATTATTACTAAACTATGCTCCCTTCCTTAACTGTGTTGTCCATTAAATAATCAGTAAGATTAAAATTAAAAATAAACTATTGACAATTATTTATTCAGGAATTAAGAGATTATCGGTTTACTTGCAATATTTCTTGGTCCGTTAGAATGAAAAACATTATCATCTCAGATTTAAAATGTTAAATAAATCCCTGGTTAATAAATCTATGGTTGATTAAACAAATAAAAATTAAAAAATATAACCTCCTTAATGATAAGACTTCATGCCATTAACAATAATTTTATTCCTATGTCTTCTTTTCTAATGAAACAAAATGTATTTAAAATTCACAAAGTAAGATGAGTTGAGATGAACTTGTATGGTTAATCTTATTCATGTTATTATATCATAATTGTGTTTATTTCAGTTATCTCAAGGCCGTAGGACAGCCAGTCTTAAAGCATCTCTTGAAGCAATTCATTCTGGAGCCCCTTTAACAGGCCAGATGAGTACTACTTCAGGTATACTACCAGCAGAATTGCCTATTAGCAAAGAATTAGCAGGTGTTGCACATTTAGTTAATCCTAATATAGATGGATCACGGAAACATAGGAGGTAACTCAACAAAAACAAACTTAATCGTTGAAATTTATAATTATTGGTTTGGGAATATCATTTATTTTAGACGAGGCGGAACTCAAAATTCACAAATGTCAACTGAAGAAGATGTAGACGAACCGATTGATCCAAACGAACCTCGTTATTGTATATGTAATCAAGTAGCCTATGGTACAATGGTTGCTTGTGATAATAAAGGAGTAATTAGAGAAAAAATTATATTATATTATATCAATACACTAAAATATAGTTTTTCATGTATATTTAAATTTCTAATATTCTTTAATATAGTGTCCGTATGAATGGTACCATTGTGAATGTGTTGGTATAACTGATCCGCCAAAAGGAAAATGGTACTGTCCCCAGTGTATTACAACAATGAAGAGTCGAAGATCACGAAAAACTACATAAATTGTTAATAAGAAAAACAAACTATAAATAAGTACTTATTTATTACATTTATTTTTTATAAATATAATTGTATCCAATTTTTTTTATTTGTAGAAAAAGGGTCTTAATAACACAAAATATTTTAATTGGTTCAAATAATCCTTATTATATAAATAAAATATAATTTTATAATATTATTTATGTTGGTAATTATTTTTACTTAATAGTTACTATATAGTGTATGCTTAATATTTATTTAAATTATATAACTATGAATATTTTACATACTTAGTAAGTTTTTAAAAAAAAATACAAAATTCCCAACAAACCATTTTTATACTGTCTTCTTTTTTTCAGATTCTGAGTACAAATTATTACTATCAAGTAGTACCTATCTATAATTTATAAAACCTATTAATCGTGTATGAACAAATCGATTAGTCGAGTTTAAGTTAATTTGTCCTACTTTATTGACTAATAACTAAATAGGTCTGAAGCTTTTCTGAACGCATAAATTTAGTTTAGTATTAGCCTATTAGTTTAACTTGCCACAGTCAAGATGATGTTTCATTGGAGTAAAGGTACAATAGGTTTAAATTAGCATTACTATATTACTATTACGGCATACCTATATAAAACATGAGTGTTTACAGAATATAAAATGCCTACTGTATTCAATAAAAAAAATGTAATTATATAATTATTTAGATATCCCTACCTATTATCATATAAAAAAGCAGTTATATATTACCAACCAGTGGCAGATTCAAAGGGGGACGATAGGCGCCCCCCTTTTAACTCTTCAATATACTCGTAGCTGCATATTAAACACACCTAACTTGATTCATCATAAATGGATGCCTTATTTGCATTTTCAAAATCGTCCTTCTGTTGCTAATACTGACAATAATATTTTGACACGCAATATGTTATTTTTTCTCTTATTAACAATATCTCGAACTACAATCATAAATCATCTAAAATATTTTAAAATACGATCAACTGTGACCACAAAAATATAATCAATACCTACAAATAATTATAATTATTACAAAATTTCTCACTTGTAAATACTTCTGTATTTTACGATTTTTCATTACATACCAAATATTAATGGCTTTTAAATGCACAATATGTAATATTCTGGTTATAATACTTAAATGAATTTAAAAATAATGATAGAAATAATAAAAATAAAATAAATTATTATTTTTAAATTGAATTTGTTGTATGCATATTTGTTATCAAAAAAAAAATATATTTTATGTAGGTATTGCTTTTCAAATTAAAAAAGGTCAAAAATACCATTGCAAATCCATCATATGTACCTATTTTAAAATAAAGATAAAAATAATCAAAAAATGAATTTTTTTTTTTTTTTTGAAATACATTTTTTGTCTATAATTTATTTTAAATGGTATATTAATTATTTCTACAAAATAAGAGTATAAATAAATATTTGTAAGGTTTTTAGAGCATACAAATCCGAACCTTACTTATTACTTGTTACACACAGTGATTAAACTCAAAATTTCACCAGTTTCATTCTTGTCATAAATCTACAATTTACTTTAATATAGTTAACAAAAAAAAATCATGACCATTGCTCCAAGGTAAAGTTCATGTGCCATATGCAACAATACCTCTTTAGAATCAAAAAACGTATCTTTACAGTTTAAAATTGTATGAATATGTTACTACAAAATAATAAATTAATTTTCATATTTTTTACAAATTATTGTAGTTATGATTTTAAAAAAGTTAATTTTTTCGTTAAACTACATTTTTTCAACCAATATTACAACTTGCAATCAATCTTGTAATCAATTATTGAGAATTTTCAGGAAGCCAAAACAATAAAAATGCTTGAAACTTTCAAATACCTTAATAAATGCGCCAAAATATTTAAAAATATATTCTACGTTTCGAGAACGTTATTATTAATAAGTATTAAATTTAAATAAAATTGAATATAATAATTTTTCACCAAATAAATTACAACAAAAACAAAATTAATTTAAAGTACCTTGTAGGTGCCGGTTTTTTTTTTATATTTCATTGACCATTAACCACCTTTTTTATATTAAGACTTTCAGTAGTTACTTCCCAATACTCATTCAAGCAAAACAGGTACGGCTGATAAGTGTTTTATCCAAAAGTATAAATTTTTTAACAATTTTATCCACTATCCTATTATAACTAAAAACTTTTGAAAACATAATTTGAATTTGTCATGAAATTTACTTGAAATCGGATTTCTAAACTTTCTTAAATTTTTCAATAAATTGTTTTACACAATATTATTCATATTTTAAAATTAAAAAACATTTTTAAGGATCTAAGAGTTCAATTTCAAAAAAAGAGCTGATACTGGGGATGGGAGCAGCCACTGTTGTAAGTGAGAATTTAGGATACATAAGGTTGTTTCATTTGTATCTGTAAGCAACGATAAAGCATTTTTTGATGGAAAACGATTGAAAATGACCTCTCTGAAGTGCCATCTAGACAACTTGAACTTTTAGAAAAGTTGCTACGCGTAAAATCGGAACAAGTTTCCTATGTGTTCACTGAAAAAAAGCGAAAAAAAAAAATCTTAGTAAAACCAATTGCCCCCGCGCCACACATTGAATCTAAAAAATAAAAAAGTTTGTTTCAAATAAAATGTGTGACGACTTAAATAACTTTTTCGGAGGTTTTATCCGATTACTAAAACATTCAATACATTCAATGCAATTGGCATAATTGTAGTTTTATTTTAATAGAACCCCCTTAAATGGAAAAATCTTAGCGTTATTTTCAATTTCCCTCCATTGTTCGACTTCTAGTCGAAAATTTGTTTACTGATAAAAAAAAAAAAACACGTCGTAGTAAAACTAATACAAATGTCCAAAATTGAATACAAAAATTACTTAAACAATATAATTAAATAATTTATAGTTAAGTATTTTATTTAAATTCTATGATGGTTTGCAAAAAATAAATATCACACAATGTTTTATATTTCGCGGCATCAAAAATATCCTTGATATTTTTTGTTCCATGGCTTACTGATACATTATTATGGTTATTTTATACAATCTCACGCCATGTATGACACCCTTCACTCTGCTCTGCCATCGTTCACTTTTGATAAACATTAAAACAGTGTTTGGTTCTCGAACCCAGTTTCCTCCTTGTGATTCATCGGTGAAACTTCGGAAGTAAGTAATTTTTATCCGTTTGAATCATAGAAATTACCGACGTTATTAACGTCACTAGTACTGAAAATCGTTTATTGTAAATTGTTTTAACGTTTTGTTCACAGAAATGGGTCGTCGTCCCGCAAGATGGTAAGTAAAATCACTTAATTTTTCGTATTTACCCAACCTCCACATTTCACGTAGAAAGTCATTGCTAACTATGTGTATAATAACATTTTCATGAAAAATGAATAGCTTTCATTTTACTAATTTATTCTAAAATAATCTTAAGAGTACTTACTTAAATCACGGTACACTAACATTGTATTTTAGGTGTTACTTTACTTAACATTGTAGTTTGTACATACTAATATTGAACTGTAGTAAACTCTTTTAAATCTTGTTTGTATTTTTGTATAGCTATCGTTATTGCAAAAACAAGCCGTATCCCAAATCTCGGTTTTGTCGTGGTGTGCCAGATCCGAAAATTCGGATTTTTGACTTGGGTAAAAAGAAGGCGCGAGTAGATGATTTCCCGCTTTGCGTTCATCTGGTAAATTTAATACCATTCAACACCGAAGTTAATTCCAAATATTTTAATTTTCATTTATTATTATTCATAGGTATCTGATGAATATGAACAGTTGTCATCTGAAGCATTGGAAGCTGGACGTATTTGTGCTAACAAGTACATGGTTAAACATTGTGGTAAAGATCAATTCCACATTCGTATGAGACTTCATCCGTTCCATGTTATTCGAATCAATAAAATGTTGTCATGTGCTGGAGCTGATAGGTTTTTTTTTTTTAACTTAAAAATTGTTTAAACTTATTCTAGATTTAATGGTTTTAATTTTCTATTTTGTTTAATTTCAGGCTTCAAACTGGAATGAGAGGAGCTTTTGGTAAACCTCAAGGTACTGTAGCTCGTGTACATATTGGTCAACCAATTATGAGTGTCCGTTCATCTGACAGATACAAGGCAGCTGTTATTGAAGCTTTACGCCGTGCTAAATTTAAGTTCCCCGGTCGCCAAAAGGTGTGTACATTATATAATTCAAAAAATATCTAATTTACTTTTGTTCCTTGATTTGTTGATTTTAATTAACTATAACCAACTTTACAATAAGTTTATACCATTTATACTAATACATAATTAGGTTAATTTTAGGTTGAGTTGTTTATAAATCAATATATTTTTCGTTGAACTTCAGTTTTGTATTAAAAATTTATAAATTCATCAATTTAAAATAAAAGTATTCTAAAGTTTTCATAAACAATAAAACCTTTAGGTCAGAAATTACAGTTAAAAAAGTTTATTTGTGGGAAGGTTGTATGCATCCTAAACAGTCAAATTCGATATATGATAGAGGGTTATGATAGGTATTTCAAATTGGTAATTTGTAAATTTTATCTAAGTAATGTTCTTCAATTGTAATCAATGTTTCCTATTAAATAAAACATACCTCTCCTCTCTACCTGATACATTGTACATTTTAGAACATAGATATTCTTTAATTTTGTCTTTGCCCGTCATTTTGAATTTGTACATAATTTGATCCACTTATTAATCTAAATCACATACAACCCTCTCTTTTTCATTGAGTCTTCCTCTTTCTTCCTACTAACATACACTGCATAAAACTGTTCGGATTACAATACAATTGTTTATTTTAAGAAATGCACAACTCACTCTGTAAATTGTTTGAATGTCAAATTTACACGATATTGATTAGAAAATAATGAATAATAATAATTAATGAAATTAAAATAATTGGTTTTAAAATTAAAAATAAATTTTTGGTACTTGTTATCACCCCGCCAATACACCGTATTAATTTTATCTCTCCGCCATAAATATATTAATAAGAATTGAATTTAATAAAAAAAATTGCAGGGGATCCTGAACCTCTATAATATCTTTTAAGATAGCTTCCAATACATCTTGTTCCCCCGAGACGTGTTTCCATATAAATTCTACTAATTATGATTTGAGAAAATTTCTATTAGTTCCATGTTACTTTTTATTTTCCCATTTAGCAGAACCCCACAACCTCAATGTTTTGGGTATGTGCCCCTGTGTCCAGATAAACAAAATTATAGGTATGGTTAACAGTAATATGTTGAAATCTTGCTTGCTGAAAATTATTGTAAGCTTTCCAACAATCTGACATAATTATTGAACCTGGTCTTGTATATTTCTTTACTATAGGTAATATTTTCTCCGATCAATTGAGTACACTAATTATAAAACATATTTGGTGTCCCAACATTCCACTAAAAATCCATTTTAGTAGCAGAATATATCCAGCATTGTTTTTTCTATGCACAAATAAACTTTCATCTATTTTGGAAAAGAGATCAGGACCACCACTTTAATTTGATTATTTATAACTTACTTACACATGCCTCACATAGATAATTACTCTAATCGACCCTAGCATTTTATCCCATTTTAAGTTCGAGTTTACAAAATTTACTGAAGACATTTTTCCGACTCAGTAGTATATGTAATGGATAATTGTGTGTATTGGTAATCTAGAACAAGTTAGCCAATTATTTATTCTTAACCCTTTTCCTTATGGTTATTTCTTATCTGACACCGCTATTATGATCCCTTAATAAACATGACCATTTTCACTAACTTTAATTTCATTATTTTTTTTATAAAAATGTAATTCTATTGTATTAAATTTAATTTTTCGTATTTATTTAAACGAAGTAGGTAACAATGATAAAATCCAGCAACATACTAATACATTATGATATAAATTGTAGTAATTTCTATGGATTTATTCTAATAGATTTATCATGAGATAAACACAATAATTATTTCTACAACAACTAGTGTACTACTAACTTTATGACAGGGTAATAACAAACAAGTACCCAATTTTTTTTTTTAATATTAAATCTATTTTCAGATCTATGTGAGCAAAAAGTGGGGATTCACAAAATATGATCGTGATGAATACGAAAATTTGAAGGAAGATGGAAGACTGGCTCCTGATGGTGCCAATGTTAAATTCCGCCCCGACCATGGACCCTTGGACAACTGGAGGAAGGTCCAACGAGAATTACTTGCTGTTTAAATATGGTTTTGGTATCTCTTGTATTGGAAATTATTAAAAAACCTTGTTTTGTCAAATTTGTGTTACTTTTTATTTATCCAATTAATCTTTATATAAAATTTATTAAAATAAATAGGTTTAATCATGGTGGAAAACAAAAAATGAAAATTCTTAAAAATAATTATTTTGAATACTTGTAGTGTAAATGAATAATACAACTTGAAATAACCTAATTTTACTTCTCAATGATAGTAATGTAAACATAACCTAACAACTATTCAAAAGTATTTTATATCTTTACTGTTAACTTTTTTGTAAATTACAAAACATCTTCACCTTGGATTATATACTATGGATGGAGCTACTAACTAAATATTTGAACCAAGTATAACTAAAGGGAGATAGAACAAATGCACATAGGTGTAATTTATACCACCGCTGGTTAAGTGATAACGTGAAACAAAATTTTCATTTTTTTTAAACAATTCTCATTTTTTTCATTTAAAAATCAATAGGTACCTACTGGTAACAATTTTGACTATTACTCTCGTGTTAAAAATTAATTATGGTGAATCAGGTGAATTGTAGGAGTTTTTAATTATTTTGTTATACAATAACATTGATTTATTCATTTGTGCATTTATTAATAATTAGAGATGTGACAAATTGAAAATTACAAATAATCATTTGATGCAGATTATATGCGGTCACCAATATGATGTTCACCTTAGAAATCGGATTTTATAACATTTCTAGTATTAATGTACCGTAAACTAAAAATGAATTCTTTTTATTATTTATAAATAACCATTTTATAAAAGTTTTCCATTAACATAGAGAATAAAACTAAGTATTTAATGACAAAATAAGTACCACTGCATAGTTCAAATAGGTACCACAGTACCACCTATTACCTATGATAAATTATGAATACTAAATAATAAATATTAATTGTGGTCGAATCCACGTATTGTAATATTTTTATTTAGTACTATTAAGTCCCCTTGTGAATCGTCATTAACATGTGTATAATGCAATAATGCTATCCTTATTATATGATCTAAGCTCTTCACCTACATAACATTTAACTATTACATAAAATGGTTTGAAATGTAAAATTTTACTATTTATAAGTTGTGTCTATTCAGTATTTAATGACATTAAAAATTAATCATAATAATCTACATGGGTTCAAAATAATTTGTTTAAGTAATAATAGTATTTTAGAAGTTAATAGAACCAACACTACTTAGTATGTTGATATATTAGGACATGTAAATTATTTATTTCATGTTACCTATATTAATTTTTAAAAATATTTTTATGAGCCACAATTAATTGGCTGGTTAGGTTCCCTTAATAACATTTATAAAATGTATATTAAATCAACTTACAAATATCACAGCCGCTTTTGTAAGTGGGGGTGGAAAGGTAGAATTATATATCAAATCCTTGCAAAAACCATTTTAAAAAAATGTAATTTTTCAGTACTCATTTTGATTGGTAAAATACTTTGTTACTTTATTACTTGATAAATTTGTTTAATTTTTTTCACTATATTCACTCTCATCTTCTTTTCCTTATTTGTTTTTTTTTTTTGTGTGTGTGTTTTTGTTACTATTTTATTGAAATTTTCATTTTTGACAAGGAACACTTTTTGTTAATAAAAAATAAATGAATAACAGGACTTCATTAACAGATTAAATAAGGTTATAAAGACCTAGTTAAATGATTACTGTATTTTCTGTATACCTAATTATGTGTGTAGTGAATTTTTAATCGATTTTTACTAACCCCACGGTTCAAATTGGATGATTATTTATAACGAAAGTAGCTTTGAACAACTTTTGAATACACAAACACAAATTTAATTTAACTCTTATTTTCAGTTAATAAATATCAATATTTCGGTTAGTTGATTGCATGTAGGTTGCTTTGCTCAAATCATCCCAAAACCAATATATTTTCAAATATTTAAGTTTTAAAAGAAAAATGTTTATTTGTCTTCCTCATTTTCATCAAAAACTTTTTACAAAGCTAAATAACAATTTTAAAACAACTTAGATTGTGTAATTCAAAATTGAAATATACTAATGAATTTACATAATAAAATTATATTTATTTAATTTAAGATGTCACTTTTTAAGCGGGGGTGTTATATGATGAATATTATATCAAATAGCTTTAGAATTTTTACACTTCTAAAACAATTGATTTCACAAATATCAAAAAATGTTCGTGATTTTAAATTTTTGTCAAAATTTGAGCTTTAATATTATAAAAATTTCGAACAACTTTCAATATATTTTATCACCAAAAAAAAAAATGTGTATCAAATTTATAAGTACTTATGCAAATCAAACTGATTATACACAATTTGCTACTAAAAAGGATCTCTAAAATTATTGAGTAAATCATGACCAAAGTTGTTTACAGACAAACTCAAGTGTATATTTAACTGTCTTAAACTTAATAATTTGGCATATTAATTTTTAAATATGTACCAAGGACTGATTGAGACTTCAGACCTGCCCGATAAATGTATTATATGTAACGTACAAGCAGTTCTTAATAAAAAGATTTCAAGGAAACCTATCAAAAAAATAGTCTATGCATACATATAAAATAGTTATTACTTCCAAATAGCTCAATTTGTCCCTGATATGTACCATTTTTTTTTGATTCCATCTTGTGGAATCACTTCTTCGTAAATAATTGTATATTAGCTCTATAAACTCGGATGGCAATGTGTATTTTGTAATCCAAAATAAGTTTAGATAGATAATTATTATTTTTATTATAAAATACATTTATAGACTGATATTACATTGCAGGATACATTGTCACATAAAACATTATAAATAGATTTGTGGAGGTTTTGATCAAAAGGAAATTGATTTCAAGAGTTGTTTTATTAATCACAAGTTAAATTTTATAAACACTATTAATATTTAATTACATCGAAAAAGTATTTAGATTTATATTTGAAAAATAAATGTTATTTGGCATTATAGTTATAATAATTTTAATAAGATCTTTCTTCCACATTGCCCAAACATAGAATTTTGCTAATTATTTGAATGAAAAAAAAACAACAACACAATTAATCATAAGTACTTAATACACAATAGTTATTAAAAATATACAAATGTATGTATAAATTCTAAAAAATACAAAAATAAACAAATACTGTTTCATTTTTAAAAAAAAAAATAATAGGTAACATTCCAAAATTACTTTAATATTGTATTTTTGATTAATATTTTATTTTGATAACATAAAACAAAATAATTATTAAAAAGTAATGAAATAAAAATGGTTTTAAAAGATTTGAGAGTAGCAAAACAATTAACAAAAAAAACTCGACAAATTTCTAAGTGTAGTATAACAACCCAAATAAATCATTTATCGCATAAATGTTTAGTAAATAGTTACACTTAAATTATGAATAATAATAATTACCAGAGTTATACCACTAGTAAAATTGTTTGCTGAAATAAATGCAATACTTGTACAAGTTGTTTTCTGTCTTTGAAAAACTAAACATAGTTTACTTTGGATTTTGTGGAATATTAAAATTTGTGTTTACACTGGGTTTAAAAAAAATTATTTTTGACTTAACAGATTAAAACACTCAATATTTTTCAAATTGGATAATAGCATAATAGGTAAGTGTACAAACTGGATTTGTATCTATTAACAACAGAACTGTTTGTTGATACAATAAAGTTTTATTATTATCCGAATTAACTATCTACCATAACACTCAGCTTAAAAATATGTTATTAACAAAAAAAACAAATTGCCTGATATGTTAATATTATTTGTCAAGAATTATTTGTTCAATATTGTACGACTAGATATTAAAATTTAATACTGTGATAATAATTGTTTTAATTGTGAATGGTTAAAATTGACAAAAAAAATCGGGAACACAATTCAGTTTAGTGTTGGTTGACATGTAAACATACCCACACATTGTACATTATTAAATGTAGTCTGCTAGAGTATAGAACATTTTTTGGAACTTTTTTCTGGCTCTGATTTGATTGGGGGTCTTTCAGACAGTTGAAATCGTCGAACAATACGAACAAGTTCATGGAACGATTGATCAATGTTCATCCCCGCTTTTGCACTGCATTCTATGTACGGTATTTTCAACTGCATAGCCATATTTTGTGCATCTTGTACTGAAACCTAAATGGATATGTATTTTACATAATTATTAAAATAACTAATGTGAGTTTTTATCAATTGAATGTCAAAACAAACCATTCTTTGGCTACTTAGATCTGCTTTGTTTCCAACCATAAGCATAGGAAATTCATCTCGATCCTTAACCCTAAGTATCTGTCTATGGAATTTTTCCATTTCATTGAAACTAGTTTTGTCTGCAACGGAAAACACTAACAAAAACCCTTCACCTGATCGCATATATTGTTCTCTCATAGCACTGAATTCTTCTTGTCCAGCTGTATCCAAAACTAATAAAAATAGAATTAAATTGCAGTTATTCAAGTGCAAATATGCAAATATTCAGGCATCTAGGTATTTATAACAATAAGAAGTATTATTTACTGTCTAATTTTGCAGGAACGTCATCAACCACACATTGTTTTGAGTATGAGTCTTCAATTGTAGGATCATAGTCAGTCACAAAATATTTCTATAACAATAATAATATACCGCAATAATTAGGTGTCTTATAATAAATCAGGTTCATTCAAAATTTACAGTAGGTAAATAGTTAAAATTTATGTTTCAATATACATTTTTGGTAGTTACAATATAAATAAATTTAATTTAGTACAGCATAAAAAATATTACTGTATTACTATCCAAGTTCAAGAACTATTATAATCTTTCTCAAAAGATCTTTCTCTTTACAAAAAGATCCAATTATGTAAATGAAATTAAGGATCTTAGCGTTACTTTCAATCCAAAACTTAACTTAATGCCTCATGCTAATAATATTATTAGAAAAGCATCAACTAAACCAGGATTTATCAAACGCACTAGTAAAGACTTCCACGATGCTCAGGCTCTTAAACTGTTGTATTTTTGTTTAGTACATTCTAAATTGGAACATGCAAATTTGATAAGGAACAAATTTATAATCGAATTTATAATCCAAAATCAAACTCTCTCTCAAATTCAGAATAATTGTTTAAGATTTTTAAGCTTCCAATGTAAAATATAGGTATAGGACTTCTCATTCTGATTATAATATTATAAATAGGCTTTTCTCTATATTACCGTTGGAAAAAAAAAAAAGACTTAAAATACTGAATTTAAAATTTCTTTATAAATTATTAAACAATATTATAGATTGTCCAAAATGGATTGAACGATTTTACTTCAAAATAAACTATCATAATTCTAGACATAAACAACTTTTCTATCCACCGAATATTTCAAGGAAATATAGGTTATTCTCAAATTCTAATAAATTAATGTCTATATAATATAGATTCATTTTTCTTTTCGTGGTAGGTATTGAATTAAAATATTAAAGGTTTATTTCCTTTTTTTGTTGTTTATTGAACATGTATATTTTCGGGTATAGGTAAAATAAGAAAACAAGACAGTTAGTCTATTTAAAATTTAATGCTTATAATTAGATTTAGATATAATTGTCCATGTATTTCCAAGATTTTAAATTCTAATACTAAAAAATATAAACATAAACTTATATATTAGTACAATTTGTAGAGATGACATCAATGACCTAATTATATGGCCAATATTTAAATTATTTTCGAATTATATACCATTTGTATTGTATTATATTATCCAACTAAAAAGTATGTACAGGTTTGTATGTACCTATAGAAAATCCATATAAGGAGTTGAGAATTATTTGTGTAGGTATAATATTGTGTATACCTTGAATTGGACCCACCGACAAGGCAATGTTCACACCCACATGTTATGCAATTAATTGATTCAATTTAACAACACATTTTTGGTAATAGTCACAACTGTTAAAAAATTATTATTATTACGTTCTCAGTAATTTTGTATAAAAAAATGTTAACAATTTTCATATAATCTATTGTTTTCATAAAAAATCAAGATCTTGAACAAAATTATATAGTTATTATGGTTATTTTTACATTAACATATTATGGTTCATGTAAGTTTAGAACTAAGTAGGTAACTTTTATAATAATAATTAATGTAAAGATTAGTTTAAAAATCAATTTTAATAAATATAATGTAAAATATACTTTTAATGCCTGTTTTACTACAATTAAATTACAAAAGAATGTTTTGAATTTTTCATTAATTTTGTTTGAAAATAATACACTTGATTAGGGTTCAATACATAAACTTGAAAATTTTCAGTGTACAGAGTACACATATAAATGAACAGGTGGATATTTTGTAAAATTAAATGGAAGCAATATATTTTGATATTTTTAATTGTTAAATTGATTTTAAGAGGTAAATCAAATGGGTAACCAACCAAATATTTATGAATTAAGTGAATAATTTTATTTTGTCTAAAATATGTTAATAAGATACTTATAGCCATTCTCGCCGAATTAAATACTTTCATTTATGTGATTTTTAAACTGTGTTTATAGCTGATAACCGACTAAAATTGGTCAGTTATCTTATAAACTCGGTTTAAAAATCAACGTTTATATTGGTGAGAACAGTCCTTATAAGTATAAGTTAGTTATGTATTTGTATTTTAATATTTATTATTTGATTGACTTCTTTCAAATTGTCAAATTATGTTAGGTGTTATTAACATAATAGGGTTGAATAGCCTAAAAGCTTAAAGCCTTTCCTTTTATTAAAGACATAATTCAAAATCAAATTACAATATGTTTATCTACAATACTAGAGTGCCTTGATATAAACTTTATCAAGGTGTTCTCTTGCCAATGTATTATCATAATATATGACAAAACGCACATAGAAATAGAAATAAATATAAAAGTATGTGTATTTATCTGTTTTGTAACAAAACGTATGAAAAATGTTTCAATAAATTATACAGTTTATAATGAACGAAAGAGGGTAAAATTATGAAAATAAGTCAGGTACGGATAAATAATAAACAATATTGGTGACAAATACGCGTGCACATTAAAACATTTAAAATCGATCTGAAATCACGGCAATACGTATGTCACGTCTACAATTACAAACATTTATCAGTAGTTACCCAAGACAATGCAAAATTCGTTCATCTATTGTGTAGACAAAATATGTAATAACATGGCTAGGTAGTATTCACCAACACGCATGAACCCATAAATAATCGATAAAACACCATAAAAATTATAAATACCTATCGCTGTTAAAATGTATTATAGTTTCACGAAAAACATTCCACGTAAAATATACTGGTGCCTATGTATACCTGTATGAATTGTATAGTGATTGCAGACTTGCCGACACCGCCGCCTCCGACCACTACCAATTTGTAGTTTTGATTGAAATTCGGGCGGTTCATTATTCCGGATTGTATCGTTTCAATAATGTAACAATATAAATAATATTGTTTTTAAAATCCTATCGATAAAGTTGCAACAATACTATTCAGCGTCGAGTGTAAACGCCAAATATCGGCTTCACGCGCTGGCATAATACAACGAATACTATTCCAATATTATAATATCGTTTATTTTATCCGCGGACGACCGAACCCAACCGACTAATAAGGGAACACGCAAAACGGACGAGCAGCTGTCATAACAATTGCGACACTTTACGCGCAATGCGTTAACAGTATAATAAAAAATATAACAAAAACCCCATAATACGAGGCCGTTCACAAAATGGCGACACTGCGCGGTTTTCAACTTTATTGCGGCAACGGAGCACAGACTGTTGAACATGATGAATAATAAGTACTATGAACTTGCCTACACGGTCTATACTGTAGAACATGTTTAATGTTTAAAATGCCCTACTTGTACTTGGTTTATATGATATTATTATCCATGGAAATTACCGTTGTACATCATTGTTTTGTACTTCATTTTTATATTTCGTACAACCAAACGAATTCCGTGCGAAAAAAAAAAACTGATAAGAATGTCGAATATGAAAATAATAGCCCCTAAAAAACGTTGTGGTACCTATCTTATAAGACTGTACTATAAGTTGCGTAGATGAAATCCTCAAGGCTCCAGTTTTTTCTCTCGAAAACACTTAATCTCAGGACGCACATTTCACGGCTTCTTATTATAATAATATAATGATTAATGAACTTACTTAAGAATTTAGACTTTAAAAATTGTGTAAGCTTTTCCAGTAAAGCCTAAAGAATATAATTTGTTTAACAAAAATTTGATGCGATACACTACAAATAGCTTTGCAGAAAATATGCCTAAAGTTATATATATATGTTACATACAAAGTCCGGACTTGTAGATTTCACAATGTGTACAGTAATTGCGAAATAAAATATAAAATACGTGAATCTGTAATAATAGTTATTTCTTAAAAGTATTTTCCTAATATATATTATGCACCTTTTATATTTATACTATTATCTCTTATGAGTTTTTTTCCACGTAATCTAACGTTATATTGCAGGGAATGGTGTAATGCAATAAAAATGATTAAGTTTATCTAAACTTGTTCAGAAATATAACTTAAACAGACTTTAGTACAGATTAGTATTAAATTTGATTTTAGTAATATGTAGTTTTAAAATATTTGTATGGAAATTTTATGATCGTGGTTAGCATGTAATTTTTAGACATGTTTTTACTATTTTATAAATATAGGTACTTTAAAAAATAAAATGTTTGACAAACTAGATGAATTTATATATTTTTTTTTTTTTTATTCGGTAATATGAATATTAAGTATATTACTGTGATTTTCCTAGATCCCTTAAAAAAAAAAAATGATTGGATATAATGATGATTTTTATGTGAAAAACTATATGATCGTGGTTAAAATTTTATTTTTAAATTTTGTGATTTGTACAATAATTATTGTTTACATCGCAAAATGTACAATTCCAGACTTTGTATGCAACATAAATACACATAAAAAAAAATATCTGTTAACAATAATCCTAATAATAACACAGTCCTACAAAATTTTGTTGTTTGTATTATAATACCTGATTTGTATAGATTTTGGTACGCTGAGTTCAAATATGAAATCAGTTTGTCTCGTCATGTTTTTATTTTACAATTTAGATATAAATATGAGCAGAATATTTACACTAGAATAACATAACTTAGCCAATTGTACAACAAATTTTATGGCAAACATTTTTTCTTTGAATCAAATAACAAACTTTCACATAAATATATTTTCTTATCAATTTATAAACCCTATTATAGAGGATAATTATTTGAACACATGTAAAAAAATTTTATTGAAAATAAAAAAAAATGTTTTATGTGTTATTTACAAAACTATTGAAAAAAAATTTAATTTTCCAAGTTATATCACAGTCTGAACTTATGCCATATGATGGTACCTTTATTTTTATTTTATTTTTTACCAATGTCTATACTCACAAATTTGATTATCATTAAATATTTTTTTGTACATATTTGGGTTCTAACCTCTTAAATTTTTGAAATAAATAAATTCCATTAAGCCATGTAATAATATATTATTTAGGTACTTTTATTACTATAATTGTTCAGTTTTATGGAAATACAAAAACTTTTACAAAAACAAATTTACCAAACTTTATATCTTTTTCAATTTGATTGAGTTTTTCTTTGAAGGCATTCAGTTCATTCTTGGCAAATACTTTAATAATAGATGTTGTTTGATAGAATGACTGATTGTATTATAGCAGCATTGCTTTTCTTATGAAAGAACGAGTTACCTAAATATGAATTAAAATACCATTATTTATAAAATATGTTATTGTTTTTATAATAATTATTTAAAAACATTAATTCAACTTAATATAAACCAAACGCATATCAATCAGCTGGTCATGTAAAGTCATATTATCAGCAACAATTTTATTTAATCTGTCACCAAAATTTTTTAACTGTTTAATAATGGATTTTTTCGCTTTTTTATATTCTTCATTGGCTAAAGCAAAATTTTCATCGGAAAAACCATCTCTAAAGCACAAAAACATTTCATAATAAATGATAACTTCAATTTTTTTTATGTAAACAATTATACATTTTTTCTTATATTTATTAAGATTATACATAATTTGTAAAAAAACATTTACAAAAACCATATTTCAATAGGAATAATAAGGTGCGGGGTTAAATAAATCATCCAGCAGTGACACTCTTTGAATAGATTTTATTTTTCAATTATTTATTATTTATTTAATTTTTCTATCTTCTATTAAAGTGTAAACAAATATTACAATTAGATTCTATTTAGAAAAAAAAACCCTATAAATCAAATGAATATCATGGTAATATGTAATTTATTACAGTTATTTTAAGATAATGATATGAAATCTGAATAAATAAAAAATAAATACAATACGTACTTACAAATATATGAGACTAATATGATATTGTTATAATAAAACTAATAAAATTATTATCCTTTATACATTATTTTTAAATCTAATTTGATGTAAATGTTTTATATTTTTATCTATACCTACTTGGATTCTTCCAAATCCAAAAGTAGTTGGCGTAAATGTTGCAACCGAATTTCCAAATGTAGTATTAATATTTTATTTTCGCCAGACATTTCAATCACGTTTATAATTAAAACAAGTTTTTTATCTGTATACTATAAATAACAATTTAATTTGAAATTCAGTACGTTGAAGAAAAACTAAAATAGAGGAGCCGTTTCGTATAATGTACACAATATCACATGTATAATTTTAATGGCGAATTTTGACAGTTTGACCTCTACAAAAAAAAAAAATTGTACATATTAAAATATGAATTTTTGACATCGTGTTGCCACTTCCACTGTAGAAATTGGTTTGGTTATACCGATATAAATGTCCTCTTAAAAATAATACCGGTATAAAATAAAGAAACTCGTTGGTGATACCGGTTCAAAATTTTTTTTACACCTACAAATAAACCTTGGGTACACCGTCAGTCAATTTTAAATTCTGAATGTTGCAAGGAATGTATGGGTTTTACTAAAATGTTTATTTTTGTTCTTTTTCCATCCTGTGTACAAAAATTCTACCAGAAATCGTGCTCAGATATAAACGCGCGGCATCATTTCTGAAAGGGAATGTTGTCCAGATGGTACTTTTGGGAGGTCAAATTTTGATTTTTCAAACAGTTTTCATAATATCTGGGAAAAACCAGGATAAAACGTAAGAAAAATGGGAAATTTACGAAAATAATGCTTTTATTATTTTTCAATTTTATAGGCGTTTATTAAAAATCAGAATTAATGTTTTTGTATTTTGTATTGTGATGACAGTAGCCGAAAAGCCTACGTCACACGCGGCGTATCACGAAGTTGCTGAAATACCAAATTTATTTTATCACGAGTTACACCATTTATAACTCAAGAACGGCTGGACTGATTTTGATGATCTCTGATTTGTTGGATTTGTCTCCCCCCCTGAATATCAGAGCAACTATTAAAATATCGGAAAGATTCACGTAACAAAATTGTAGGGGTTTTTAGGTATATTTGATACGAATATCTAATAACCTATTCATTTATTTTGTTTATTCAAGGGCTGCCACGGTGAACAACCTATTTTCCTCCTATTTGTTTTCATTCAATTCTGACATCACGTCCAAAACCAAAAATAAATATGGGTAGAATAATAATAATACAAATTGGCATGGGCAACGACGGGAACCGGACAGCTAGTATTATTTTAAAATGAAAAATAAGTTAACCAGATGCTCTAAGCAACCCACTTTTATGTTTTTTTTAAATTTTTTATCAACTAACTTAATTGGAAAATATATTGGTTTAGTTTTGGTAATAAATACAACATGTTTAAGTGGATGTTTATCTACACTTGAATAATTCAAATGCTCTCTAATGCTTACCTACTGTTTGAAATTAAAAATGTCGTTTTATCATTTTTGTTTGAAACTGTGTCTGAGTTACTCGAAAATGTGCACGTTCTTTCAAATGTTTCAATTATTTTTGTTCAAGATACCTGTTGTGTTCAAACTTCCAAGTTTTCTAATTCTACATTTTCTTATTTAAAACAATGATAAGAAATGTACAAAGTTGGTAATTAATAGTTTTGGGCGAATCGGTAGTTTTATTTTCGGCCGAAATATTTTGCTGCTTAAATATTTTCTGATAATTTCATAATAAGGTTTGGCTGTTTTATAGCCCCGTCCATTCATTTAAATTTAATAATATATATCAAAAATTTAAAAATGACTAAGTCATGTTTAAGTTAAGTAGTCGCTTAACCGCGACTTAACTATAAATTCTTATTTTCAAAGATGAACATTAATAGTACAAGAGAAAAAAAGAATTGGCTACTTCAACACGTATTTATAACTAAAACTATAGGAATACTTACAATAAAAAACTGGATCATGTAAAAAAGGTAAAGGTTTGATTTACTTAAAATATCCAATGGAGCAAATAATGAAATAATCCAATACAAAAAAAACCCATAACCCACTTTTAAAAGTTACTAAGGTATCCAAATAAAAAATGCCCAGATTCTACCCCTTTAGATCATATATGTAAGTTAGTGTCACCCATAGACAGTGCAATTAAGAGTAAAAGTAATTCCTGAAGGAAGAGACTGAAAGAAACTTACCCATTAAAGTACTAAGCAGTGTGACCAAAATTCTTGTATATACACAAGGTTCTGTGTGTGATAGACTGTACTCGTTCACAAGGGTTTTATGATAGTTTCAAATTTCATGACTCAATTGCTAATAAACATTTACGAATTGGAAAGCCCTCCAGTGGGTAATTCTATTGGACATAATATTATAGAAGCTAAAAGGGTATAATAATGTATAATAAATATGAAGTATTTATACATTTATGTTTCGGCAGGTATATTAGATAGATGTTGATAGTTCAAATGAATTTGGAATTGAATATACTGGACACTGGTCTTAAACAAAAGAAAGGCTACAAAAAAAGGAGGCGTACGAAAGTGAATATGATGAATTATGGCTCATTGAAATGGCTGCTAAAAAAATAAGAACTGAAAAGAAAATAGAAAAGTAAAGAAATAACCATGTGTATAAATTAAAAGACAATAATTGATTTATCTTTATAGAGCTGAAACTAATGAAGAAATTAACATAAAAATGAATGTCCAGAGCTAAGATGTTTTTGTTTTCTACAAATGATCATATACCTATATATGAAGTAGAACAAATGTTAAAGGATATTTTATTAATATTGTCTAATTTCAATAATTCCGTGAAACCAAATCGGTAAATTACATTTTTTCTATTTAAATTTATTACTTTATTGTATTGATTATTATCTGTTCAATGGTCTACAAAAATACAGTGATTTATTACAAGGACCTTTGCACATATTTTAGTAATAGAATATAATACATAAAGTAATGTATTTTTCATTTAATTTTTTATATTCAGTCGCATTTTACATTTTAACTGTGATATATGTGATGATGAATTTCTAACACACTTATCACACTTACACTTTAACATTTATCATAATACTCCAGACTCATTTATTTTTTTTTTTTTTTATATACATCAATTGTTTATTTATAAATTTATTTACTATAATAAAAAAATGATTGTTAATGGACACTTTATAAATATATCAATATTTTAAATTGATAGTTAATTAAAGTTAGTAAATTATGTAAATTAAAATTAAATTAAAATTAAACTCTAAACATACACACGAATATTACATAATATTATGATCAGAATTTAAAATGCCAATGTTTTTATTAAATTAATTAACTATACTTCTTTACTATAGTCATAATTTTATATTATACAAGTATTTAAAAAAAGATTTCTGATATCTGACATCTATAAAGATGTATATAATTTCTAACTTGTTTTATAGCTCAGTAGTGACCAATTACGGCCCACAGGATAAATCCGTCCCGAGATCATTTATTAATCGGCACATCAAAGTATTATTAAATTAAAACTGAAAAAAATATTTTAAATGACAAAAATTAACACTCGCATTAAAAGACATGTTTATACTTAACATTTTTTTCAAATTTATACCAATTAAAACATAATAAATAATTAAATATATCCCTGTACCTATATAAAATATAATAATCTATTAAGTATAAATAATATTTACAATTATTATTATTAACTTTTTTGATAAAACTTAATAAATAAACATCATAAATATCCTGAATATAGTAATGATAATTTTAAAAAAAAGGTATGGGATACAGGTAATTGTAATTTTTATACGGCCCCCACACGATCAATATTATTTACAATATTACTGATCGTGTAATGTGAGTACTGATATACTGTCAGTATAAATAAAACGATACTGATAATTGATGAAAAATTTGAATATCGAGTTGTCAGTATTTATTTACTGATGAAGATACTGACCGTGTGTGGTAGATCATGACAGTTCTTTGGTAAATTTTTCGCAGCTATGGGCGACGAAAGCCAAAATACGGGTATGAGTGATTCCAGTACACTTACATAAATCCTGTATGATTTTATTGCTGAATACTAACAGTTGCTCTTTGTTTATAAAATTTAAATAAGTGTACTGTCTTCGATGGAAATTATTTCGCCCATAATTTTAATTTTCTTGAAACTAGTTTATTTGAGACCAAAAAAGCTTATATAATTGCTAAATATACTTTTTTTTTCATCCATATCAAACAAATTATTTTATTAAATAAAACAAAAATATTTATTTATTTATTTATTTATTTAAACGAACACCCATACAGTCGAAATCAAAACACAGATCAATACTGTAAATTGACACTAATTTTTACTGACCATTTTAGGACTATACTGTCAGTAATATTGATCGTGTGAGGGCCGTATTACAGTTTTCATAAAACTATTGTTTTTTTTTTTTAATTATAAAATTGTTGTATTTATTGGTTTGGATCAAAATTCTTATAAACAAAAATTTGAACACGTTGAGAAATATAGGAATCAAACCACGATAAAAGTAGGCTGCATACACCTAGATATTTTAATTTACGAATTTTTTAAAATATTTAAAAATTAACTTTATCAAAAGCCTTGGAGAAATTTGTATAAATAACATCTACACGAGAACCCGCAATTATTTATTAATTTTAAAATACTGAAATCAATATAACATATACTATATTTAAATATATAACACTGTTAAATATTCTAAGTTTATGTTGTATTCTCATTGACTTTCAAAAACATATTAAAATCTGAAAAAAAAATTAACACATTAGTAAATAGTTATTTTTATTGATGTAGCAATCATATAATGAAATTCATGTTATTCTGTAAACATATTTATGATAAGAAAGTTAAGTATATAAATAATATAAAATACATATTTCCTTGAATATCTCCAGAGATAATAAAATTCTGTTTTTTTTTTATGTTATAGCATAATAAGGTTAGGTTATTCCTTAGATGATTTTGGATTTCACACGGATAAGTAGAATCTAAAACTACTGTAACTTAGAAACTATTCATAGGATATATATGTGTGACACATTTTTCAGAAAAATAAACTACAGATTGGCTATCTTAAAATTTTCTAAAAATATTAAAATTAAGTTATTATTAAATATAAATATTTGTAGTCCTTATCCTCGTGAGTAATATAAAAAACAAAAAACAATATTTGATTATCTTTATTATCTCCGGTAAAACTCAAAGGATATATTATCGTGGGAAAAACTAAATACATATACATTTAGAATTTTTAAAAAAGTAATAATACAATAATATTCTCACCAAATCCATCTAATGTGTCAGGAATATTAAAACCATTTGATGATGTACTGTTTTGAATTTTACAACTTTCTTCTTGAACAAATATTTTATCAACATCTGTCAACTCACAACCAAGATGTCTCAGTGCTGTCAATACTTCAAGCTTTACAAAGATAAACAAATAAAATATAATATATTTTATCATTTTAATTTTTTTATAAAAAAAATTCTTACCTTTTGTCTATTGCCAACTTTTAAGCTTAATTTACCCAACTTTATATCTCTTTCAATTTGATTACGTTTTTCTTTGAGGGCATTTGGTTCATTCTTGGCAAACATTTTAATAATAGATGGTGTTTGAAATGCTTTTGTTATAGCGGCACTAGTTGCCTAAATATGAATTAAAATATCATTACTTGTAGAATATGTTTTTTTTTTTATAATTATTATTTAAAAAAATAAATTCAACTTAATACAAACCAAACGCATAATGCTCAGCCGATCATGTAAAGTCATATTACCAGCAATAATTTTATTTAATCTTTCACTAAATTCTTTTAACTGCTCAACAGTGTCTTCTTTCGATTCATTATATTCTTCATCAGTAAAAACATCTCTAAAGCATAAGAATATTTTATAAATTATATTTTTTATTTTCTCTAAGTAAACAATTATACAACTTTTTTTTTTTCTTCTAATATTTATTATTATATATAATCTATAAAAAAAAAAACATTTTCAATAGAAAATGCAAGGCGTTGGGTTAAATAATCATCCAGCAGTGACACTCTTTGAATAGGTTTATTTTATTTTTCAACTATCATCTATCTAATATTAAAGTGTAAATAAATATTATAATTATATTTCATTTAGAAAAAAACCCCTATAACTTAAATTAATATCATGGCAACATGTAATTAATTACAGTTATTTTATAATAATGATTTGAAGTCTGAATAAATAAAAAATAAATACAATATATACTAAAAAATATATAAGAGAATAATATGATACTATAATAACAAATCTAATATAATTTTTAAAAATCCTTCGTGTATTTTTTTTTAAATCTATTTTGATGTAAATATTTTACATTTTTAACTATACCTACTTGGATTCTTCCAAATCACTAAGTTGTTGGACTAAACGTTCCAACTGAAATTCCAAATTTTCTTTTAATATTTCATTTTCGTCAGACATTTCAATCACGTTTATAAATAAAATAAATTCTGAATTTATATAATATTAGTATTATTAAAAGTAATAATTTAATTTGTAATCCACTAGCACAGATATCACGGTTATCTACAGTGTTCTTATCGTAATGATATATTGGTATACACAACGGTATGTACATATCATATTAATAGACAGACTTTTTGTACATGTAGAACGGCCATCAATAGAGGGCGCTCTTTACGTGTGACTTGTGACTTTTATGTGGTATTGTAAATTCGTATCGTAGATTGTAAAAATTCGTTATACCGCGAAAGATGTGTTCAAAATAATTTCCTTATATCAAGGGACCGACTGTTTCATTTGTTATATTGCGATTTCAGTCATATCATAAATTACAAAGCGAGTCGACAGTATTATATATAATTATACGAACACTATTATAAAAAAAAAGGAATTTCAATAATATTAAAGTAAAAACAAATATTCGTAGATGAGAATACGGGAAGTCCGTAAATTGTCCGAGATAATGTAACGTTAGAGAATATAAAAGGTTGCCTATACAAACCCCTTACAAATATACATATTGATAAATTTATTATTTATTTTGTTATTAATGAAATGTAAAATATTGGTTATGTATTTAATTTAAAATTGATTTGTCTTTTTAATTTATTCTATTGTGTTTACTATTAGGTACTAAAGTATAATTACTTAAAAGAACAACTGACCTGTTTGGAAATAAGGTTTGCTTGTCGTTTCTATAATAATTGAATACAGATCTCAAGTTTTAAAATTTCAACTATGATGAATAGGTACGCATTTCTAACAATTATGAACAAATAATTGTAATACAAATCATAAGAACTGTAAATAAATAGGTACTATATTTAAAAAGAAACAGGACAGATTATAAACGTTTATAAATTAACACTTTACTTGGTAATATTTTTGACTTTTAACTACATTTATAATTTATGAATAATAACTATATAAATTTGGATTGTAACATTATTATAATAAAAATAATGGACATACTTCGTACGATTGTCTATAGATAACTAGTTCAAACGTTATAGCATAATATTGTATCGTTGTTTTCGACAATATATTATTATTTACATCATTATACAGAGTGTCCCATGAAGATGTATCCTTTTTATTTAGAATTTAATATATAAATTAATATAAAATGGCTATATTTACTATAGAACACCCTGTATATATTAAATAGATACATAGAATTAAAATTAAATAATTTTAGGTGAGACTATTGAGGGTTCAAAATCAAAATCACTATTTGTTGATTTGTTCTCAAAAGAACACAATTTTCAATCATCAGTTATAATTTATAAATATTAGGTAACTCAGTTATTATTATTTTAACCATAATAAAAAAAATTAACGCTTAAACTATTCGGAGCAAGAAAAGAATATTCTATGAAGGGTTTCAGTATGTTTTCGACAAACTGAGTAGAGATGAAGTTACAAAGTTGTATAGATGTAGGAGACGTGATATAAATTGTAAAGGGAGAGTTTACATGAAAAACAGGCAAATAATCACATTGAGGAACCATGGTGGACACGAAGAATCAGCAACAACTGTTGAAGTAAGAACATATTATCTATTGTTAATTTATTGTTATTTATTAACGGTGTATTATTTAGTCAATTTAGTTGCGGACATTTTGTAAAATAGATTTTTTTTAAAATTTTTAAAATTAATTCATAACACATTTGTGTTGATAAATTACATTGTTATGATAAAAAAATTATTCAATTTAAAAATTGTAAAAAATAAATGACAATAATATAATAAAAATTGAAACCACCAAATATTTCCTAAAAATCTATTTTATAAAATTGCCACAGTTATATAAAGTGAAAAATAGTCCTGTTACACTCTGTATAGCCTAAGCCATTTTTCATTCCAAATAATTTAATGTAGTCTAGAAATCTTATAAAAAAATCTATGTACAATTAGAATAAAAGATTAAAGAAAAGAGCAATATAAATCCCCCCTAAATGTAACAAACAATTCGGTATAATGCCCCCTTTAAACATAGGAAGTAATATGCTGCATTAATAATAAATATATAATGCAAGTATTTCTTAGTATACTGTTCTAATTTAGTCATTTTATATTATTGAATAACAGTTTAATAATATCATCATTTACTTTGTATTATTAGTTTATATATTGTTAAGACTCACCAAACCTAAACCAAGTTTGATTTTGAAGTTGAGAAAGAAAATATTTTCAAAAAATAAAGTTATTATTATTAGGTAACTGTAACTATTGCAAACAATAAAAAATGAATGGCAGATATTATGGAGGCTTCTACTGTGGCAAAAAATCAATGTATAGGTAATTGATAATTAATAAATATTATTATATTAAATAGAAAACAAATTTGTATCAAACCAGTTTCATATATTTTTAATTATCATTTGCAACTGGATCAGAATTGGTTTTTAACATTTAATTCTTAATACTTGTGCATCCCTTTAGTTGTCCCCCTCCCCTCGTGAAATTACTTTCATATAAAGAATGTCTTATGTCTGATTATTGTTTTGTCTTTTCTACTTTTTCTACCACCTCTCGCTTTATGTTAGGAGGTGTTATCCCGCATAGCATTTGTATTTTCTGAACTGGGGTATTATTATGTACATAATAGGTGTACATTAAAATGTTTTATTTGTACAGTATTAAATCAAAACTTTGGCGATTATTATTTAAAAAATATTAAACCTTCTAAGGTATTGTAAAAAAAGAAAAAAGGACGTATTTATAATATTATGATATTTTGTTATATGTACAATGAACATTATTGTGTTCTTTATAATTTATAATTGATTTATGAGTAATTATTTCAAATAAATAACACAACAATTAAAAGAGAATGTTAGTCAATAGAATAGAACACCCTGTGGTGGCGGTAGTTAGGTAGAATGGTAATAGGTGCCTACGCGGTATTAACATAAATTAATAATTCATGATAAAAATAATAATAATAATAATAATTGTAAAAAATTATAAGAATAATAACATGACAAAACGGAAAACAAGTAGATACTGGCGGTATCATACCGTGTGAAACAATAAGTACCGTGTACCTATATTTTTATTAAAGTAAACCAGTTCGATGTCGACCGCCGTCACGGGCACACGCGCTCGGCTAAATGAAATATTTTACTTATCTACGGTGAGATCTCTCCTCGTCATCTATAAGTATAGTAGCACTACATAACTGTCATACAACGACGATCAAAATAAGTATTTAAATAAATAATACGATTTTCTCGTATCTGAATCAATATATGAAGTTTTGGACAATCAATCCGACAAGAGGCATAGTAGACAGAAACTCACGAGACGTCGCTACCAAAATATTATACCAAAATGAAGTACAATTATATAATATATACTACCTATTTAATATGTATAGGTATCAATATCAGGAAAAAAACATTACATGCATCTTCTTGCCCGTCTAGAAACAAGATAATCTAAAAAATAAACCACTGAAATATCTACAAATAATTAAATATTAGTGTATTATTACAGTTGGTGTCAATCTATTAAAGCAGTGTAGATGGTTTATTCGTATTTTGCAATGTCGCATTCAAATAAAATGAAAGTACGAAGATTGATTATCAATATTGTAGACTATGCAGAGTACAAAGGGAACAACGGGTTTATCCATAGGTACTTAAGATATAAATGAGAATTTTAAGTTTTGTTTTTGGTTATTTATGTCCACAAAAAATAACAAACGGACATAAAAAACAAACAGAATACGAAAGGGTAGATGGTTGGTAGGTACTCGTGCACGAATATACTCGTAGTTCACTGCAACTTAAAATTGCAACTGGGACCGTAGAAAACGATTGCGTGCTACCGATTTCAAACAAATATCTACTTTTTTTATAGATATTGCTGAGAGAAGTCTGTGCAAAATAAAAAATTTAATGCCAATGAAGACGACGTACAGCCAGTCAAAATTACAATTAGATAAGCAAAATGTGCATTGATCAGCTAAGGCTATATTTCATGCAAAATGGAAACGAAAATGTCCCAACAACTTCATTAGACGTTTGCGTAAAATTAGTCTGTAAGTAAAGTTAATAAATTACAACAAAGAAGAATGACGATTTTCATTATTTAAGTTATTAATAAAAATTACACGTTCACTACATCCGCTGTATCCGCTTCCAAAAAAACACATCTAGACCGGGGGTATCCAACCCGCGGTCCGTATACACTGCCCACAGTAGATTTTAATAGGGCCCTCAATTCAATTCCAAAACTTCAACTAATTATATATGATATTAGGAGAAAAATATATTTCAAGAATATAAAACTACAAAATATTAAAAAAGCTTTAAATATTACTTAATAGTATATATTATTGTACCCATTTAAGTGTTATCTTTATTGTGATCCGATCGCGATAAAGAAACTAATGTAACTGAAATAACAAAATAATTATTTTCTTTTAATCATAAATATATATTTTTTTCTTCCAATTATAAATAATATGTATTATTATTAAAATGCAAGTTGCTCACAACAACTTCTATACTTCTATTTACACGTGGCCCAATATTTACAAAATGTTGGACATCCCTGATCTAAACATTCTCTAAATCCATTTATCTTACCTACTCTATTCTGTCTATTCCTCTATCCTATCCATTAGTCAGGACAGCTAGAACTTAGAACTTAGCAGAACTCAGACTATGATTATTACACTGTGTATGTAAGCATGTAAACTGTAAACATGTAAACATTCCCATAGTATTATGGAACTATAGTATTAGGGGGGCAACTAAATTCGAGGAAAAACTTTCTGAAGACAACAGTTAGCTTTTCGCAAATGCCTCAAGTGACAAGAGTAGACTTACGGAAGGAGGAAATAAAAGTGCATAACTTACAGCTATGGAAGGACCCGAATGAAAGCTCATCACCCAGAAGTCATCTACTATGGTCGACATGGAAGACACTAAATAGATTACAAACCGAAACTGGTAGGACAGCGAGTAATATGAAAAAATGGGGAATAAAAGAGGACGGAAAATGCGCATTTAGTGGGGAGCAGGATGCAGACCATCTATTTACATATTCACTACTAGGTAC